TTTATATATATACATATATATATATACACACACACACACATATATATATATATGTATATATATAAAAATATTTTTGCATTGCTTTAAAATAAGCAGTCAGATGTCTTTATACCTCAAACATTTTCCTCCTTTCTCCAGGATTCATTTTCTTCACTGTTGTTTGATGGCCCTGGACAAAAGGTAAAACTACAAATTAGAGATTCTGAGGCACCATTTGAAAATTCCAAGTTTATGGAAATTTAAAGAGGGCAAAGGTAAAAAGCCAATACTGCTATAACCCTCCTTCAAAATGCATTATCTTCAAAAATTAATAACCACAGTAATGTTTGATATCCTTCTGTTAAATACAAAAGAAATTCATTAAACTCAATAAGCTATGGAAAAGGTTCTTCCCCAATCACCAATTATATAGTTTTGTGCTATAAATAATAAAATATAAAAATAAACTATTAATACTAACATATTACAAAATAGAATTTTATTTCAGAAGCTTAAGAATGAAAATTTCAATTTTTGTTTACAGTGTAAAATTCAGGTAAGAACAATTAAGAAGTCTACTTCACTTCCCACCTCCAGAGGTACGGATGTTTTCATGTATACATTTCTAGACATTGTTTTATTCACTTGTGTACATTTGTAAGTATATACACACAAAGAATTTTTGCTTTTTATATAAATTATGACAATGTATAATTAGATGGCAAAATGCTTTTTTCAAAATTTGTATTTTGTTTTGATATTTATAAAATATAATAACCAAATTAACAACTCCAACTGTTATGGGTATTACGAGTATAATTAATTTACTGAATCATTCTTCTAGAAACAGACATGAGTCAGTTTCAGTTTTTCCTAATTTAGATGCTATAAGGGACTCCCTTGTACATATCTTAGTGCCATATGCAACTCTTTCAGAAAGGCAGTATTTCAGACATGGAATTACAAAGTAAAAATATATTTTAAATGTTAATAAAAATTGCTCAACCATGAAAGAAGCCCATTTATACTCCAATCAAAAACTCATTTCCCTGTATTGTCACAAATATTGATTATTATCAATCTATCTTCAATTTCTACTTCTTGGAAAGGTTGAGAATATTTCCTACTTTATTAGACATTTATACATTCTTTTCTACATACTAAATCTTCATCTAATTTGGGAGTTACTCAATTTCATGAGCTCTTCATGTATTACGAAAAATAATAGAAATTTTGAAAATATTTTCAAATTTTGAAATTAAGACACTAATAGAAATTTTGAAAATATTTTTCCCAGTCTGTCTTCTATTTTTAATTGTTGTTTATTACATCTTTCACTACAGAGGAGATTGTAATTTATACGTAGTTAAATTTCTCCATCTTTTTTTATAGTATCGGTATACAATGCCTCACTTAGGAAGACATTCTAGACCTTAACATTATATTTGCTTCTAACACATAGTTTCATTTTTATATTCAGATCTTTAATCTATTTGGAAAATTTATTTTTATTTAAGACATGAGCTAGGAACATAATTTGTTTTCTCTAGAAAATCTAACTTGTAACCATTTATTGGCTGATATATCTTTTTACCCATTCGTTTAAAATGCCCCATTTATCATATAATAAATTCTCCCACATATATGGTCACATTCTAGACTCAATATTCTGTTCCACTTGTCCATCTTCTCGCATTCTGTTTTATTTTTTTTACTGTGATATAAAGTCATCCACAGAAAAGTAGATGAAAACTGTAAACAGAATTTCACAAATTTAAAGGAAACATTCATGTACTCACTACTACCTAGGTCAAGAAAAGGAAAGTTATCAATGCTCAGAAGTTTTCAGGAGCCCTGGTAGTGTAGTGCCTAAGGCACCTGACTGCTAACCAAAAGGCTGGCAGTTCAAATCCACCAGGAACTCCTCAGAAGGAAGGTTGGGCAATCTACTTCCATAGTGAAAACTGCCTCAGAAAGCCAAGGAGGGGTTGCTACGAGTCGAGTCTGACTCGACAGCATGTAACAATAACAACAAAAGTTTTCCATATCCCTTCCACAATCATAACCCCTTACGTCACTCACCAAGGTAAGCACCATCCTGACTTTTGTGATAACCATCCTTTTACTTTTCTTTATGGTTTTAGCACATAAATATTCCTTTCTTTTCTGTTAATGAGATTTATATTATGGAACCATACAACACATTTTCTTTTCTTATTTCTTTTGCTCATCACTTTAATTTTAACATTCACTCATGTTATTTGTAGTTACATCTATTTTCTTCATTGATATATATATAGCATTCCACTGACATTGAAACCTTTACTTCACAATTACTTCTTTGTATTTTTCTCATTAGGTCTATTGTAGAATATTGTAGGGTTTTGTTGCTATTTTTTGCAATTTTATTTTCTACTAAATTATTCAATTTTGTATGTTGATCTTCTACCAAGCTGCTTTATTGAATTAATTAGTAATTTTCTGCTGCTTCTGTGGGCAGCAGACAGGTAATCATACTATCTGTAAATAATGTCTATCCTTTCTCTTTTTTTCCAGTATTTGTCTCATTTCGTTCTCCTTTTAATTGAATTGTCTAGGACCTCCATCACAATATTAAACAAAGGCAGTGACAGCAAACATCCTTGTCTTGTTCGTGACTTTAATGATAATGGTTCCAGTTTTACATCATTATGTATATAATGCCTCCCACATATTTCTGGTACATATATATCAAGTTAACGTACTTTTTGACTTATTGAATCAAAACTCAAAAAAATAAACTCACTGTCATCTAATTGATTGTGACTCATATCAACAGCTACTGAATTTCTAAGACTGTAAATCTTTATGGCAGCAGACTGCCCCATCTTTCTTCCATGGAGCAGGTGGTAGGTTCGAACTACTGACCTTTTGGTTATCAGCCAAATGTCTAGCATAGTGGCTAAGACACTTGCCTGCTAACCAGACAGCTGGCGGTTCAAACCCACCAGCCACTCCTCGGAAGGAAGGTTGGGCAATCCTACTTCCGTAATGATACTGCCTCGGAAACCCAAGGAGGGGTCGCTATGAGTTGGGGCCGACTCGATGGCACATACGACAACAACAAATGTCTAAACCAGTACACCACCAGAGCTCTATTACTTAAATAAAAAGACAAAAAATAAAAAAAAGGAATCAAAGGAACTTTTAAAACAACAATTAATGTTAAATTTTACCATTTCAGCCATTTCCAGAAATGACTTGTATACTGCTTTCTCTTCTAATCTGTTAAAATTACAGTAATTGATTTTCCTGTATTTCTGCCATGCATCCTATTTGATAATAGCGAGAAAGGGGAAGGCTCTCAAAGAGATGGACTGACACAGTGGCTGCAACAATTGGATCAGGTATAGCAAGGATTGTGAGGCTGTCACATGACCATGCAGTGTTTCGTTCTGTTGTACATAGGGTCACCATGAGTTGGAGCTTACTCGATGACAACTAACAACAACAACAACAGCAACAATTATTCTTTTGAGGCCACCTAATTTGATTTGCTTTTTTATTATACTTTCTTAGGGTTTCTGCATTCATATTTATACATAAAATTGAACTATGGCTTTGTTTTGTGTGCTAATCAATTTTGTAGTCAAGATTAAGCCTAACTCAACTACTTTGGATATTTAAAGAGACAGCGCTGTTGCAGATTCCTGGGGCTTAAGAACACACTCTGCTTTCCAGCAATCCCAAGGACACTCGGGACCTGCAAGACTGAAAAGGTACGAGATTCCTCTTGTGACTCTTATAACCCACACCCGCTTGGTGAACAGAGGTGTGGCCATCCCCACTCCCACCCACCTTATGGGCCTAAAGGAACTCCACCACAGTCTGTGTGCTCAGACTGAGCCTGGGTACTCTGCCCTGTCCTGCCCTGATTTTTTTTACTCTTTTTTTAATTTTCACTTTTTTCTTTTTCACTTTCCTTTTTCTGGTGATTAGTTTGCTTGTATTTGTCTGTTCTAAAACAACTAATATTATTAATGGGAGCTCTGGTAGCATAGTGGCTAAGACACTTGCCTGCTAACCAGATGGCTGGTGGTTCAAACCCATCAGCCACTCCTCGGAAGGAAGGTTGGGCAATCCTACTTCCGTAGTGATACTGCCTCGGAAACCCCAGGAGGGGGTTGCTTTGAGTCAGGTTTGACTCGATGGCACATAACAACAATAACAATATTATTAATACTTTTGTCCTTTTTATTATTATTCTTAATTTTCCCCTTCCAGGTCCTACTTTTCAACATTTTTTCTTTTCCCAGTGCCTGGTTGAAAATTTTTTTTTTTTTTTTTTAATTTCAGGTTGTTTTTTTCCTTTCCCCTTTTTTCTCGTAATTAAACCCATTAGCTGCTTTTCTTTTTACATTTTTCCCATTTTATTCTACATTTATTATTCTCCATCCCTACCTTTTTTTTCTTACTGCCCTATCTCCAGATATAGCAGGTTTTCTTGTTTTTTCTTCTTTTATTCCCTTTTTTCTTTTTTTGGTTACTGTGCCTGTGTGATTACATGGTGTGTTTATTGTCCATGGGCTTTCAGTTTTTGATGGTTATTCAATTGTAATTTGTGTCTAACTGAGTGGGAGACAACAACAGTACCCATAAGACACCTCCTGCAACTTCACTTACTGAGTGAGAGCCACTACCTCCAACTCCACCAATGGGCCCAACGATAAAAAACCACCAAGAAGAGCCTGAACAACCCTGAGCTGCTCTTCACAAACAGTTGGCAGAGATTTAAAAACAATGCCACAATGCCTCGGAAACAACAGACCATCATAGTCCACACAAAGAAGCAGGATAAAGTGGCAGAAACGAGGGAGCAGGATACAGATCCAAAACACATCCCTGAGGAAGAAGCAGCACTGGAACTCTCTGATAAGGAATTCAAAAGAATTATCTTTAAGTATCTTCAAAGGATTGAGAGACAGAACAAAGAAAACAGAAAAAAACCTTTGAAGATTTTTGGAAGAAAATAAAAGAACAAAATGACAAAATAAATGAAAAATTAGAAATGATTCTAAACCTACAGATAGAAATCAAGAAGATTAATATTAAATTATCAGAACTAGATAACACATCGAAAGGGTAAAGGAGAAGAAGAGATGTGATGGAAGGCAGAATTAATGACAT